CTATCTAGACACCTTCCTTCAGGGAAAGGTCAGGTTTGTTTTTATAAATGAAAAAATACTTCATGCAGTCTTTTCTGTTAGGCATCTTTTGTCTGACATTATATCTAGGTAATTTATTTGTGTTGAGTGTAGTGGTAGTTCTTTTTCACATTGATACAGCAATTCGTTATATAAATGTATCACTATGTATTTTACTGTTGATGGACATTTGTATCATTTCCTATTCACTTCATGAATGATTCAGCTGTAAACATTTTTGTATACAGATGTTATACAAATGTATTTTTGTACATCTGTATTTTATACATCTGTATTTTTGCATACAGATGTTATTGTATATTATCTTCTAGAAATTGTATTGTTTTTAGCTTTCTTGTTTAGGTATACAGTTCACCTAGTTTGAGGTAGAGGTCAAAATTTATTTTCTCTATATTCCTATCCAATTGATTCAGTATTAGTTATTTACAAGATTATCTTTTCCTCACTGTATTGTATTAGAACCTTTGTTTAAACCAAGTAACTATTTGTGTGTGTTTCTTTTTCTGAACTTCTTATTTTGTTCAATCTGTCAATTTATCTGTCCTTGCACAAATTTCACACTGTCTTGATTGCTGTAGCTTTAATAAGTCTACCTGTTAATCTAAGTCCTTCATATAAAATTTAGAATTATCTTGTCAATTTTCTAACACAAACTCTTGATAAGGGAAATTGACATCACTTGGAGAAATAATATATTCGGCACATTGGGTCTTCCATATTCATGAACATGGTATATCTTTTGTTTGTATAGGATCTTTAATTTATGCAAAATGTATTATTTCATTTTATGTAAAGTAGAAATTTATTGTATTTATTTCCAAATATTTGATGTTTCTTTATGGTATTGTAAATGGCATTATTTTAAAATTATATTTTGTAATTATCTGTTGTTTATATATAGAAATGCATTAGACTTTTGATGGTTCACCTTATGTGTAGGGAATTTGCTATATTTACTTATTAATGCTAATAGTTTATTGATAGTACCTTGTTTATTATTGTGTGTTATTGCATGAGCTGGAACTACTAATAAAATGTTGACTGCTAGTATGCTTGACATTGCCCTCTCACTACCCAGCTTTTCTATTTTATTACCTTTCTTCATCAATGAAAAAATGATTGCATTATTTCTCAACTTCCTTCATATTTCAAGCTTCTACTTATTTAAGAGTATTCATAGTTTGCTACATAAAATTGATTTTTTGAGGCTTTGTTTGCATTTTTCTAATTTATTTATTGTCTGTTATTTGCCTTGCTCTAACATAGTATCTACAGTTCAGCATATGACCTGTATATGTATAAAGAGCAATTATATGTATATATATACACATATACATATATATATGGCAATACTAGTCGTTTTGTGATCAAAAAGCAATTTTGTGAGAAGTTTCATCATAAAATTGTAGTTTGTTACTTCTGTGAAATATTTTGCTGAGTTTTCACTGTGTTAAGAAATTGGTTAGGGATTTTGGCTTAATATGCAATACATTGAATTTTTTTTACATTTAAGATGAAGAAGTGTTTCTACTCTGCATTTTTGTAAAGAAGGTTTGATTTTAAGGAATGAATTAATGGGAAAATGGGAGATGCCTGTATTTTTAAATGGTTCTATTGCTGTGCTAAAATGAAAATAATAGATGACATAATGAATCTATACCCTTGATTTCAAAATCAATAAAATACCCTCATTATATTTATTGGGGAAATAAAATGACATTAATTAATGGCATTATATATTTCAATAAGTAAGCTCTTGGACACAATTATGGTAGAAGACATAGTTAAGTAATGAGTCATATATGTAGATATATAATGAAGTGATTAGGAAAGTAGCAAATACGGACTACCCAAATATCACAAGTGATCCTGTCCGGGAGATATGATTTTTCCAAAATAGTGAACTCGTTTTCAAAAGTTCTGAATAAAGTAAAATACAAATTTTCTTTAACTTATACAGCATTGCATTCCTGGAAAATTCAATGTATAATGAAAAAAGGAACATTTTTATGATTTGTATATAAAAACAGAGTTAAGTTCTAGCTCAAATAATTTAAAATAGATTTTTTTCACTTATATAAATTTTCCTTGGGTTATTTGAATTTTGAGCAGGATGCATGATAATTCTTCACTCTATGAGACTATTCTGTATTTTGCATGAAGTATAGCACATCTGAATTGCAATCACTACAGTCTTGTAGAGTCTCTCAATTATTCCAATTGCCAAAAATCACCCCGATAAATTTTAAAAACACTTCATGAAGAATCACAGGTGGAATAGATTGTTAAATAAATAATTGTTGATTGTCTATAGTATTAGTGTTTAGCTTAAGGAGTAAACATCAAATGGTTGAGTGTTAGCAGGCATATATGATCAAAAGCTAGATGTGATCATAATTCTTTTGGGTTTGAAGATGCACGAGAGTCCCACCTTTAATTTCCAAAGTTTTTAGGACCAAGGATGCTGAAGAAGGCGTTGAAATTCACAGTTCAGTTTAGCGCTCTATTGGCAGCTGTCCCTTTAGAAGCTGGGTAAATGCAGAACTAAAAGTGAGTCATTTCATTAGTTTGAAGTCAATTTTCCAAATGATCAACATAGGAGAATATGTGAGTGTTATAGATTGAATTGTGTCTGCCTTCACATTTTTACGCTGAAGATCAAAACAACATGACTATATTTGGAGATAGGCTATTTAGGGAGTTAAGTAAGGTTTAATGAGGTCATCAGTTTGAGGTTTCAATAGACTGGTGTCCTTCTAAGAAGAGAAAGAGAGACCAAAGGGCGCTCTCTCTCTCTCTCTCTCTCTCTCTCTCTCTCTCTCTCTCTCTCTCTCTCTCTCTCCCCCCCCCCCAAAGCAAAGGGCAGTTTAGAACACAGCAAGAAGGTTGTGAGGTTGTGGTCTATAAGCTAGAGAGAAAGCCTTCACCAGAAACCAACCTTGACCCTCATCCTGGACTTTCAGCCTCTTGACCCATTAGAAGATACATTTCTGTTGTTTAAGGCACCTGGTCTGTGATATTTTGCTATGGTGGCTTTGGTAGACTAATAGAGTAAGATAATTTATATGACTAATAGATTTCATTTTCTGTATTATATTTTCCTATTAGAATAATATCACACAGATGGAAGTTTACATCTTAAAATAATTTTATATCAGCCTTTATCTGCAATCAACATTCTATCTGTGTTAGCCAGGAGAGGAGTGGACCTGGGATCTCTCTGGCCACCAAGAATAATCACAACTATCCCTCTACCTTTCCCTCTTCTATGGGATTGCCTTGCTGATCAGGTATTCCTCAGGAGGAGAGGGTTGTCTGCCTGGAGTGTATTTGCATTTGGTGTTCTGTACAGTTTTCACATCTCCTCTTGCAAGCATTAGCCATCATTTGAATTTTAATGATGAATTATCTAAATATGATTTCTGCTCTGTGTTTTTGTGGCTCCTTGAATTTTAATCTGCTGCTACTGTCAGTTCCAGTCACTCCATTTTAAATAGACTGCTCCATCTGTGGCTCCACGTTTTTGGCATCATCAGTGGGAAGCTCTTGGTGGCACGTAGTAGTCACAGACAGTAAGAATCTACCTGTCCCACATATCAGAATTCAAAAGGGTGCCACATCTTTGATGCCTGAGTCACCCACTCTTGGGTAGCAATGGCACAGTGATTCCTAGGCTTACATGGTCAAAGGGAATGAGCAGAAAAATTGGGTCTGCAGGTTGCTAGGTAATCAGGAATAAACAGGCATAGAAGTGAGGCGCTTAATAGAGAGGGAAGGCAACAGGCACGGACATCTTAAGGGCATGTTAGAAAAGCCCCAGATTTTATTTAAACCTTCTAAAAATTCAAAGACTGAATGTCAGAGACTCATCACAGTTTTTTTCAATAGAAGAATATGTAATAGAAAAATGCTATTCAAATACTATCATCATCTTGAACTTGTGAGTCAGGATCAGTTGGAAGTTACTAATTTTCCATATTAAACCACAATGCTGAGGCAACTGAAGGAAGTGCTGAATTGCAGCCAGGTGGGCAACAATTACTCTTCTTTTGCATAGCACAGATTACAGCATATACTAGTCACTCCATAAATGTTTGTTTTCACTTGCAACTTACTATTTCTGTTGGTTCTATGTTACTTAGCAAATGATTTACTCTCTTACTTTATTCAATTAGTATTTACCAAATTATCCAACCTCCAAGTTAGAGAAAAATGAAAACAGATACATGGATCTAGGGATGCTAATCTATAAGGGAATATAAACATAAACATAAGCAATGTTTTGCTTTGATACTATAAAGCATCACACCATTTTTTATTACAATGCTGAGATTGGGCAGGCACAATCATAGCTACTCAATGGTTATATGTTGACTAACAAATTGATCTCTGCAGTCAGAGTATGACCTAGGAAGCTGGGGATCACAGATAAGATCAAATGCATCTAATAAAACTATTAATCACAGCTTTCATTTTACAGATTAAAAAAGGAAAAACACTGACTGAGAGAGGTAAGTGGTTTGTCAAAAATCATGTGACCACTATGTGGCAGACCCACCAATTGAACTCAGATGGAATTCCAAATGCCAGGCTGCTTTACCTTCTTTTGTACTGCGTAAGAGAACTTCAGACAAAGTAATTTGCAAAGAAACTGGAAATTATCTGTGCGCTCCACAAAAGAGTAAATGAGTATGTGAATCATGATATTGCTCAGTGGTAGAAAATTATGTTGCTATTAAATATTATGTTACTAACTATGATCTTTTGAGACAGTTTTATGCAGCCTTGTTAGGTTTGTGTGGGGGTCAGGGCTTGAGTGGGGGTTGTCAGCATAGAAGAGTGTCTATTTAGCACAAATTACAGCTATATTTAAATATAAATCAAGTAAGTATAAAAGAGGAAATCCATCATAATATATTTTTATACAAGAATTTTTCCTTTTTTGTCACCTCTTCTGTTTACTTCCTTCTTACGTTCTCTTTTTACTCCTTTTGCCCTCTCTCCTTCCTTTGTTCCTTTTTCTTCCTCCTCGTTTCTTTGTTTTTCTTTATTGTTTCCAAATTTTGGATAATCCGCCAGTATTGTATTGATGAAGAGGAAAATGGAAATTCTGAAGAAAGAAATTACTTCCACCTGAGACGCTCAGACAGAGGAAAGGCTGTGTGTGAGGAATGGCATCCGAGAGGCTGGGTGAAGAGATGCCACACCCGAGGAGGTGTGCAGGGACAGCATTCCAGGAGCAGGATGTCAGGTGCAGAGACAATGTGCAGGCTCTCTGCAGAGCCCTCAGAGCAGTTCAGCTCCTGGAAGCAGAAGATGCCAAGAGTGAAATAATGCAAACTAAGGTTGGTGAGGTCAGCCATGGCCACTCTGTGCATTTGTGGGGTGGGAGGGAGTTGTCCTTGCTTCTCTGTGCTGTGATTTGGTTTTATGTAATTGGAAAGAAGCCTTGTATTTTTAGCGCAATCCTTAGGAACAAACTTGCAAAGTCTGTTCTGTCTGAAGGCGCAGAAGGCAGAAACCTCTTAGTTTTCTCGAAACAAATAAAATAGTGAGAAATAGTCATGTTCATAAGGAGATGTTAAATCTAGGGCACGTACTTGCCAAAAACATAGGGCACTTGGCAAGCTCTCCCAGAGCCATTAAACATGAACGCTTATTACTGAATATTTATGGTCTGCACCAATCTTGAAATGACCTAATTTGAGTGTCCTCCAACAGTTTATGGCAGGTATTTCTATAGCAATCATGAACACACTAGCGAGTTTCAGCAGCAAGGAAGTCAGCACTATTTTTGCCTTGCATTTTCATGCTCCCTCAGTAGCATAAATGTACATTTCATATAAACGTCGTATAGCACAGATAGTATAAAAGCATTATTTTTCAACTTCAAGTAGTTTCACCTGGAAATAAATTTCTCTTTTAAAGAATATCTACTTCTGTTTTTATTAGGTAGGAAGAGAAAACAATTAATTCTAAATATTGCTGGGGTGGATTTTCATCACTGATTCCACCTAAGCCTTCTTTTGTCCCTGATGAGTCCCACGATTTAGTTTCTTTTCACTGGTACCTTAAACCAGGGCCAATGACATCAGGGTGCATTTTGGACTTATTTTAACATCTCCCTTTATTGATTTTTAAAAATTCTTTTAAATTTTTATTTATTTATTTTGAGACAGAGTCTTGCTCTGTCTCCCAGGCTGCACTGCAGTGGCACGATCTTGACTCACTATGACTTCTGCCTCCAGGGTTCAAGTGATTCTCCTGCCTTAACCTCCTGAGTAGCTGGGATTATAGGCATGTGCCCCCACACTCAGCTAATTTTTTAAAAAATATTGTTGGTAGGGCTGGGCGCGGTGGCTCACGCCTGTAATCCCAGCACTTTGGGAGGCCGAGGCGGGTGGATCATGAGGTCAAGAGATTGAGACCACCCTGGTCAACATGGTGAAACCCCGTCTCTACTAAAAATACAAAAAACTTGCTGGGCATGGTGGCACGTGCCTGTAATCCCAGCCACTCAGGAGGCTGAGGCAGGAGAATTGAACCCAGGAGGCGGAGGTTGCCATGAGCCAAGATCATGCCATTGCACTCCATCCTGGGTAACAAGGGGAAACTCCATCTCAAAAAAAAAAAATTATTGTTGGTAGAGATGGGTTTCGCCAAGTTGAGTAGGCTGGTCTCAAACCCCTGACCTCAAGTGATCCAGTTGCCTGGGTCTCCCAAAGTGCTGGGATTACAGACATGAGCCACTGACTTTGGCCTCTTCCTTTATTTCTGACTACAAAAGGAGATGAACCCTCCCCTCATATTCTGTGGTTCAGGGAAGCCCATTGCTACCTCAGTGTGCCAATCTCTGATGGTCTATGGGTTCTTCCCAGTTTTAGTTTTGCCCAACAACTGGAGTCCACCCAGTAGGAATGTGTTTGGATTTTGAAGTGATCAACTTAAATTCTTCCACTTCACTAACACCCTGGGAAGTTACTTCCATCTTGGTGCCTTAGCCTTTCATGTAAGAACGGGACTAGCAATACCTTACTCTTAAGAATGTCAGAGGTGTTATCTGGGGTAAGAGCTACAACCTTGCTGAACATAGTGCCAGGCCCCAGGCAGAAGGTGCAGTCTGACTCAACTTCCTAGTGTCCATAGCACTTATGTTCTGTCTTGCTCTGAATTAGGCTTTCAAGTCTTGCCATGAAAGGTGAGGTGAAATTTCATGATTTTTCAACATTCTCTTCTGCTAACATGGTTTAAATACTAGTCTAAAAATGGTCCTTCCAAGTGATTTATTATTTTTATTTATCACAATCATTTTTCCAAGGGCAGTCAACAACTGATGTCATGTTGAAAAGAATCCCATAAGGTGTAGAGTGGATAAAACTGGGACTGACAGGAAATCCATGATATAGAGAGGTGTCTGCTCTACTCGCTAAGGCCAGGTCCCTTGGGGAGATTAAAACTGTGAGATGCCAAGACTGCATATTCAGGCCAAGGACACCACCATGCCGTGTTACCTAACAGCCCATTCTTCAGAATTAAATGTCTTTGATGCCAGGAAGTCTTCCATTTAGTTGAGTCTAGCTCCAACACTAATTAAACCTGTTAGACATGAAGCAAAAGTATTTCAAGGACTTTGCCAAAATTTAAGTAAAAATTGCTCACATCTTGGTGCAGATTCAGGAGTGATTAACTTGTTACCACTTATAGCTCTTATATCTTCTTATCTTTTTATCTTGAAAATGAACAGCAGGGCATTATATAATCTGGCAGGATTTATTGTATCAGATAATAGAAATACATATGATATTTGTTGGCAACACCATTTAATATTCATTTCTAGAACATTCCTCATATAGACATAGAAGTGAGTAAAATGTACTCTGAACCAGTTTCAAGATTTGGGGTTAATGTGAAATGGGAGATGATGGGATGAGTTTTCTTTTCTTTTTCAGAGACTGAAATGAGACCAGGGCTATTGTCATGTAAGTTCAGTAGTGAAACTTCTGGCACCTCATTCCCTCCATAGTCCCATCATGGTTGGTCAGGTGTGGTGCTAAAGTGGAAGGGAGGATGTGAGATTGTTTTAGAAGCATAAATACAGGGTGCTAATGGAGAGGTATAAGGAGGCCTTTCAGCAAATTGTAAAGCAGCAAAAGGTAGGTAAAGTGTGGCTACATATAACTTCCACCCCAAGTTCATTATCTTGTTTTTTGCTTCATTTCACAGCCTTCCCTTTCCCTCTACACACACACACACACACACACACACACACACACACACACACACACAGCAGCCTGTAAGTTGTAAAACTGTCATGATTCTACACTTTAATGTGGGGGTTCTGCAGTCTGGATTAGTAGAGAAGAGCTAACTAAGAGATTTATCAAACTGCTTTTCTATTGGGGGCTGAGAGTGAGGAAAGCATTGCTAAGGGATGTAGAAATCTTGGATCCCATTGGATTGATTGTAACACCAAATCAGGTCTTAGCTGAGGATTGGGGCAGAGTAGCAGAGTCTCTTGACATTTAATAGTCATGCTTCTCAGTGGCCCATTCAATTTAAAGCAGGACTTCAGCCAACCCTCAGATAATCAGAACAAGGCTGAGCTCCAAAGACTTGGTGAAAAGCCTGTGCCATAGTTGTTCCAACATATTTTAACAGCACCCCTATTTTTTTTTAAAGCACCTTCTTCCTCAATATACACACATTTATTTTATATAAATTATATTAATGTTCTATTTTAGATCTTAAAACAAAACATCACACATGTACCTCATAAAACAAGTACAAAAACTGAACAATTATTTTAAAAGGATAAAATTTAAAAAATAACAGCAAGTAGACGTTGTACTCGTGCTTCCTATGCTTCAATGGATACCTTTGCACAATCTCTGTCAGACAAATGGGCCAGAGATCATCAGAAGGCTTGGACGCTACTGGGAGCATTTCTTGGAATCTAAAGGCTAAGCCAAATATGAAAACTCGGATAAGGCCAGGTGCAGAGGTTCATGTCTATAATCCCAATACTTCGGGAGGCAGAGGTGGGTGGATATCCTGAGGTCAGGAGTTCGAGACCAGCCTGGACAATATGGTGAAATCCCATCTCTACTAAACATACAACAATTTGCTGGGCATGGTGGCACATGCCTTTAATCTCAACTACTTGGGAAACTGAGGCAGGAGAATAGCTTGAACCCGGGAGGAAGAAGTTGCAATAAGCTGAGATCATGCCATTGCACTCCAGCCTAGGAAACAAGAGCAAAACTCTGTCTCAAAAACAAACAGACAAAACCCAAACAAACTGGGGTAGCACAATGGGCATGAGAGGATACCCCAGTTGTAGGGGAAGGGCAAGGGAGCCCTGGGGTCACCTCTAGAAGAATGAATATTACATACATGACAGCAAAACTGATGCTATGTACTCTAAACTGCCAGAACGTGGAACCTGAATATACTCCTTCCCTCCACAAAGATTGCTCTAGAAGCTGCATAGAACTAAGTATGCAGACAGAAGACAATAGTGATGCAGATGAATATGTATGTATATTTATGATATAAACTGGTAGAATATGCATACCTTTTCCCAGCATTTTCAGTGATTTCCTAGAGGTCTCTCAGGAGAAAGAAGCATCTCTATACCCATTTTATTTCTAAAATAGGCTAAAAGAGGTGAATGCAAACTTGGAAAGTCATGAGAGAGAGAGGATCAACTTCAAGTTTAGGAGTTCTCTGAAATTCCAGGAATGAGGTAGGTATGAAGTGGACTGAAACCCAGCAGAAGACTTGATCCAAAGGTTTTTTTTTTTTTCCTTTTTTCTCAGCAAGGGAAGCAACATGGATTTCTTAGAAAACATATGCTTTAGCCCATGCACCAAAACACGATAGCTCTGTTAGGGAGGTATGTTGTGCAGTAGCAGTTTGAGAGCAGATGTAACCTTTGAGAATTAGTCTGTGATCTCACTTATCGTTTTAAAACTTTCTGCTATTTTAAAATTGTGGTTAACTTCACATAACAAAATTTATCATCTTAACCATTTTTGAGTATACTGTTCTATGGTGTTAAGGGCATTCTCATTATTGTGCAGTCTTTAAAACTATTTGTCTTATAACACTGAAAGCCTATACCCATTAAACCACAGCTTCCCATCTCCCTTCTTCCTCTTCCCCACAGCCCCTGGCAACCACCATACTGTTTTCTGTCTCTGAATTCAACTACCCCAGGTACCTCACGTAAGTGGGATCATACAGCACTTGCCTTTTTGGGACAATTGCTGGCATAGCATCCTCAAGTGTTATCCATGCTGTTGCATGTGTCAGACTTTCCTTTCTAAGACTGAATAATATTCTA